ACTGGCATGAAAGAGAAATCCACACTGCTCGGTGCATGTGTATATTGACGTCAGATCATCTGCTCCACCTGTTGCGTTTCGTCAAAATTGACATCATCAGGGACCAGGAACACACCTGTGGAGCTGAGGAGGCTCCTGCCAATATGGACCCTGTTTGCCTGCAGATTTGTCCCAAAGATAAAAAAGAGAGGAACTGGCATGAAAGAGAATTCTACACTGCTTCGGTGCATGTGTATATTGACGTCAGATCGTCTGCTCCACCTGTTGCGTTTTGTCAAATTGACATCATCAGGGACCAGGAACACACCTGTGGAGCTGAGGAGGCTCTGCCAATATGGACCCTGTTTGCCGTAGATTTGTCCCAAAGATAAAAAAAGAGGAACTGGCATGAAAGAGAAATTCTACACTGCTCGGTGCATGTGTATATTGACGTCAGATCGCCTGCTCCACCTGTTGCGTTTTGTCAAACTTGACATCATCAGGGACCGGGAACACACCTGAGGAGTGGAGGAGGCTCTGCCGATATGGACCGTTTGCCGCAGATTTGTCCCAAAGAAAAAAAAAAGAGAATCTGACATGAAAGAGAAATCTGCACTTCGGTGCATGTGCATAATGACGTCAGATGTCTGCTCCACCTGTTGCGTTTCATCAAAATTGACATCATCAGGGACCAGGAACACACCTGAGGAGTGGAGGAGGCTCTGCCGATATGGACTGTTTGCCGCAGATTTGTCCCAAAGACAAGGAAAGAGGAACTGGCATGAAAGAGAAATCCACACTGCTCGGTGCATGTGTATATTGACGTCAGATCATCTGCTCCACCTGTTGCGTTTCGTCAAAATTGACATCATCAGGGACCAGGAACACACCTGAGGAGTGAGGAGGCTCTGCCAATATGGACTGTTTGCCGCAGATTTGTCCCAAAGATAAAAAAGAGGAACTGGCATGAAAGAGAATTCTACACTGCTCGGTGCATGTGTATATTGACGTCAGATCGCCTGCTCCACCTGTTGCGTTTTTGTCAAAATTGACATCATCAGGGACCGGGAACACACCTGAGGAGTGGAGGAGGCTCTGCCGATATGGACCGTTTGCCGCAGATTTGTCCCAAAGAAAAAAAAAGAGGAACTGGCATGAAAGAGAAATCTGCACTGTTCGGTGCATGTGCATAATGACGTCAGATCGCCAGCTCCACCTGTTGTGTTGCGTCAAAATTGATGTCATCAGGGACCAGAACACACCTGAGCAGTGGAGGAAGCTCCGCCGATACGAACCCCGTTTTCCACAGATTTGTCCTATTTTGATGGGGAAGCACTTTCTAGCCTCCTATAACTAAGACGTCTCAGTGTTTGGTAGGAGGTATTTTGGTTCACATCGGTGGAGGAGTGTCATTCAATATACTACACATCACATCTTTGGATATTGGACTGTCTCACTACCACTGTATAGTCACTTTATGTATTCGGATTGCAGAGTAGAGAAGTCACGTGACGGTCTGCTGTTTATAATTGCACGATTTTTACATATTTAAATGGCTAGTGCAACATTTGCTTTGTGTTTAATCAAATTGGAAAACTCCAACTCTAGGCCCTACACCATAAGTCGGGGTTGGGAATCCACAATTTATGGATTAAGAATCGGAAGACAAAGGAAATTCCTCTTTGCCGGACTCAATGGACCCTATAGATTGCCAACATTTCAAACTATGAAAGAGCTCTTCCCAAATTCTATATCGTATTTTGATATCTTCATTTCTGATATCTGATAATTTTAAAATTTTTTACATTCCTTACGATCTGTTGAGTCAGACACAATGGGATTTTCTTTTTTCTTCTGACTTGTTAAGAGTAGGCAAGTTTAGCCATTGCTGTAGTTTGGGTGGAGTAAGAAGTAGAAGAGGAGTAAGAAGATGGTAGGAGGCCAGAGAGAGGAGTTTTGGGATCTGGGCCTAGTTTTCAGCCATGTGAAGGCCTCCCTGCAGCTTCCCCCTTGGGGGCAGCCAAAACCTGTACTCCTAGAGAAGAGGGACTTGGCATATTCTACCCATGCAGCAAGCAATAGATCTGGAATGGGTCAGCCATGAAAGATGGGGTAAGACTTGGAGACACTAATGCTGAACCTTGAACTGGTATGTACAACCTTCCGTTTTTGAGTCCCTTTTTTTATTCCACTGGAAACTGAGGGTCCTACACCATAAGTCGGGGTTGGGAATCCACAATTTATGGATTAAGAATCGGAAGACAAAGGAAATTCCTCTTTGCCGGACTCAATGGACCCTATAGATTGCCAACATTTCAAACTATGAAAGAGCGCTTCCAAAATTCTATACCGTATTTTAATATCTTAATTTCTGATATCTGATACTTCGAAATTTTGACATTCCTTTAGGATCTGTGGAGTCAGACACAATGGGATTTTCTTCTTTCTTCTGACTTGTTAAGGAGTAGGCAAGTTTAACCTTTGCTGTAGTTTGGGTGGAATAAGAAGTAGAAGAGGAGTAGGAAGATGGTAGGAGGCCAGAGAGAGGACCTTGGGATCTGGGCCTAGTTTTCAGTCATGTGAAGGCCTCCCTGCAGCTTCCCCCTTGGGGTCAGCCAGAACCTGTACTCCTAGGGAGCCTAGAGAAGAGGAACCTGGCATATACTACCCATCCAGCAAGCAATAGATCTGGAATGGGTCAGCCATGAAAGATGGGGTAAGACTTGGAGACACTAATGCTGAACCTTGAACTGGTATGTACACTGTCATGGAAATTTTGTATTTACAGGTTGAACTTTAAATGTGTCATATATTAGTGTTATTCATATGTCTCTCGTGTGGCTTAATTAAAGCTCTGAAGGCTGCAATTAGGCCATGCGCATGTACAATGTCTGTATTACAGTACTCAGCTCGGTAATGGATGAGATGGCAGATCTGCGCTTACAGACAGGCGTGTATACCACCACGGCATTCGATGCGACGCATGGCAGGCCTGTATCCACATATCAGCAGCATAGTACCACATGGACTTCGTAACGCCAGGCGCCAAGCGGTGCGAACTCCACGTGTAGGCTCATGTATATCTTACAAGTCATTACCGACCTGAACTGTATCTGGATGGATGTGTTTTAATAAAGATCGTATCGGGCCCATTCAGATACAGACTGACACTGTTTAATCTAGGGGATGCTTGTACAGAGAATTTACATACCACTAGGAGCTAATAGGAGGGGGAAGGTTGCTTCCCTCAGAGAGCTCATGGAGGGAGGGGAGGACTGGTGATAGATAAGAGGAAAGGCTACGCTCCAATCGGAATGTACATCCTGTGAATAGGCACTCCCCATGCATTGTTCTGTGGGAGGGGATTGACCTGACTCATGTGGGGGGCGTGTGTGTGTGTATAATAAAACCGGGGGCTGAGTCTGAAGCCAGCCTCTATGTGAATTCGAACAGCAACCTGAGAGTGTCGTGTGATCATTCCAGGGTACCTGGAGCTCTATTTCCTCACATCTAGAGATAGCTAAACCAGTTGGAGGCGCAGGAATCGTGGAGTTTAGCTGCAGTCGTGGTAAGTGGAAGGCGTGATACGGCTGCAGCGAAATTCGCACAGCTTTATGGGGGATTTTTGCGCATCCAACTGCGAGTACTCACGGTAAGAAAAAAATTCGTTAAAAGCGAATTTCCAAGACAACACCCTTCAGTTGTTGAGTCCCTTTTTTTTTTTTTTCAATGGAAACTGAGGGCAAGCCTATAATGGGAAGCATAGATTCGGAGACTCGGTGCAGAGAGGTCGTTTCTGGACGTAAGAACTAAAAGATGTGCAAAAATATGTGGGGAATGCCGAAATTCAGGTATAATGTGTATTGTATAGTTCTGTTGGTCCAGCTTGGCACAATGTAAGTCTGTATATCTCATACCTGAGGGACCGCTGGGGAAGCTGCCAATCACTGTATAGTCAGCGATAAAATAGCAATTGCCACAGTCGTCCAGGTCCTGAGCAACTTCCCCTCTGCACACTGACCACAGGGAGTCCCATCGCTTGGCACTGCCACCACTTACAGAACATCTTGTATTCTTTTCTATGAATACAAGGTGTTCTCTGACTGGATGAGGAGGAGACTGTGAGATCACCGCCCCTCCTTTTCGCCTCGTCCAGTCAAAGAACACCTTGTATTCATTAAAAAAAAAAGACATTTTGTGAATGGCAGCAGTGCTGAGCAGGCAGTGCCCCTGCGGTTAGCAGTCAGAAGGGAAGCCACTCACACAGGACTTGGAAGATCACAGCTATCACTGTAGCAGCACCCACCACTACAGTGATTGACTGCTTCCCCAGCAACTCCTTCAGGTATGAGATATACAGTACATACTTACATTGGGCCAGGTTGGTGTTCAACTTTATCTAGCTAACCTCACATGTTTTTGTTCCATTATTATGGAAAATACACTGGGGAATATTTAAGCTCATTAGAAAACATCAAAACGTCAAAAAGTCACAAAAAAAAGCATTGCATTGGTTTGGAATGGTTATTTATCCTCGAGAAATGCACATCCAACTATGGAAAGTTATGATATCTCACAGAGTGGTGTTTTATTGGCATTTGGAATGGATACATTATCTGCTCCCTTCAATACACTCCATAGAAAGGCATTGATTAAAAAACAAAAACAAAAAAAAAATTCCCTCTAATTCTAAAATAACACATTCCCTTTCATTAACACAGCCTTTATGAATGACCATAATGTTTATTTCCTAAGATCGTCAGCTCCATCTAGTGGCCATAATGAGGTATTTTCCCAAAGTACTATAATAAGAAAAAGTACCCCATCATGGCCACTAGATGGAGATGAAAATCATAGGAAATAAGTATATGGGACACATTACAGGGGCTGTGCAAATGATATTGCTCAGGGCTTGGGATGTAGGAAATAGGTGAGCATTGCATTGTTGTGCACGGTCCACTTTAACTGCATATTACTGCATTTTCATTTATATAATTTGTCAGCATCTAGAAAAACAACATTTATACAGCTGGGTGAATTGTTCCTGAGCAAGCTCCAAATCCAACTCGATAGCTTTCTCCTTGGCAGTAACCTGTAGGAATGAAACAAGATTTAAATAAGGTTTTCCAAAGATATTAACTACAATAATAAAAACAAATTTAGTTATTAAAGAAACAATATGATGTATGGAGAAGTCTCTGTGATGTATGGAGGAAGGTCTCAGTGATGTATGGAGGAAGGTCTCTGTGATGTATGGAGGAAGGTCTCTGTGATGTATGGAGGAAGGTCTCAGTGATATATGGAGGAAGGTCTCAGTGATATATGGGGGAAGGTCTCAGTAATATATGGGATGGAAGGTCTCAGTGATGTATGGAGGAAGGTCTCAGTGATATATGGAGGAAGGTCTCTGTGATGATATATGGAGGCAGGTCTCCTCTGTGATGTATGGAGGAAGGTCTCAATGATGTATGGAGGAAGGTCTCTGTGATGTATGGAGGAAGTATCAGTGATGTATGGAGGAAGGTCTCTGATGTATGGAGGAAGGTCTCTGATGTATGGAGGAAGGTATCAGTGATGTATGGAGGAAGGTCTCTGTGATATATGGAGGAAGGTCTCAGTGATGTATGGAGGAAGGTCTCTGTGATGTATGGAGGAAGGTCTCAGTGATGTATGGAGGAAGGTCTCTGTGATGTATGGAGGAAGGTCTCTGATGTATGGAGGAAGGTCTCTGTGATGTATGGAGGAAGGTCTCTATGATGTATGGAGGAAGGTCTCAGTGATGTATGGAGGAGGTCTCTGTGATGTATGGAGGAAGCCATCAGTGATGTATGGAGGAACGGTCTCTGTGATGTATGGAGGAAGCTATCAGTGATGTATGGAGGAAGGTCTCAGTGATGTATGGAGGAAGGTCTCTGTGATGTATGGAGGAAGGTCTCTCAGTGATGTATGGAGGAGGTCTCTGTGATGTATGGAGGAAGGCCATCATGTGACAAATGAGGAAGGTCTCAAACATGTGAGGAGGAAAGTCCCAGTGAAATGTATGGAGGAAGGTCTCTGTGATGTATGGAGGAAGGTCTCTGATGTATGGAGGAAGGTCTCAGTGATGTATGGAGGAAGGTCTCTGTGATGTATGGGGAAGGTTCAGTGATGTATGAGGGAATGGTCTCTGTGATGTATGGAGGAAGTGTCTCTGTGATGTATGGAGGAAGGTCTCTGATGTATGGGGGAAGGTCTCTGTGATGTATGGAGGAAGGTCTCTAAAGTGATGTATGGAGGAGGATGATGTATCAGGTGATATATGGAGGAAGGTCTGATCAAAGGTCTCATGTGATGTATGGAGGATAGTGTGATGTATATGTATGGAGGAAGGTCTCTGTGATGTATGGAGGAAGGCTATCAGTGATGTATGGAGGAAGGTCTCTGTGATGTATGGAGGAAGGTCTCTGTGATGTATGGAGGAAGGTCTCTGTGATGTATGGAGGAAGGTCTCAGTGATGTATGGAGAAAGGTCTCTGATGTATGGAGGAAGCTATCAGTGATGTATGGAGGAAGGTCTCTGTGATGTGGAGGAATGGAGATGGAGGAAGGTCTCAGTGATGTATGGAGGAAGTTATCAGTGATGTATGTGGAGGAAGGTCTCAGTGATAGGTATGGAGGAAGGTCAATTATGCATGGAGGAAGGTCTAATGTGGGGATGTATGGAGGAAGGTCTCTGTGATGTATGGAGAAAGGTCTCTCTGGAGGAAGGTCTCTGTGATGTATGGAGGAAGCCATCAGTGATCTGTATTGGAGGAAAGTCTCAGTGATATATTGGAGGAAGGTCTCAGTGATGTATGTATGGAGGAAGGTCTCAGTGATGTATGGAGGAGAGGTCTCAGTGATGTATGGAGGAAGGTCTCTGAGTATGATGTATGGGAGGAAGGTCTCAGTGATATATGGGGGAAGGTCTCAGTGATGTATGGAAGGAAGGTCTCAGTCATGTATGGAGGATAGTCCTGTGAGTGATGATGTATGGGGAAGAAGGTCTCTGTGATGTATGGAGGAAGCTCTCAGTGATGTATGGAGGAAGTCTCAGTGATATATGGAGGAAGCTATCAGTGATGCATGGAGGAGGAAGGTCTCTGATGTATGGAGGATGCTATCAGTGATATATGGAGGAAGGTCTCAAACAGTGATGTATGGAGGGTATAGTCGAGTGATGTATGGAGGAAGGTCTCTGTGATGTATGGAGGAAGGTCTCAGAAGGTGTGTGGGGAAGAAAATCTATCATTTACAAAGTGTTGGGGAAGAAAATGCAAGCCTAAACCTGGCTCCAAGCGCCTAGTGCAGGAATGCATTTAGTACCACTTTGGAAAACACTTTCCTTGGATAGGGTGATGGTGGTTTGTGGATCATAGCCATAAAGACAGGTTAACAGGATGATTATATACATGATACAAACTGTGTAGGATTAAAGTCACTCCCAAATCATACGAAACAGCAGTCCACTAATAACTCTTTATCTGCAGCAAGAGTATGTGATTGCTTGCTAAATCTCACTAGAATGTATTAAAATTCAGGTATCCTTCTAATCTGCCCATTGTAGTTTCCAGCTCTAGTTTGCTGCCTGAGGATCATAGAGCTCTTTTCATGCAAACATACACTCCAGTACCTGTTATAATAACAGTGTCTCCATCCCGCAAGAATGTCCGAGTATGACCATTTCCAAGATCTATTGGCTTGGATCCCCTCCATGACAGTTCCAGCATTGAGCCGAAGCTTGAAGGGTCCTATGAGACAAATAAAGGTCTCAGATAATAGAAGTTAAGCCAGATATTTCATTAGTCAATTAAGTTATTTGTCTCTTTAAAAAAAAAAAAAAACTTTAGCCCCATACTATAAATTACATGGCAAGCACCTTATAAAACATCATCATGATTCTTGGAAGAGCGCAATACCATATAAAATCTAATGATACCACAAGCAAACAGCATGTAGGAGGGAGTCCAACAACGCTTCCCAAAAACTGGAGTTGTTAAGTCAGTTCTCTGGTTCTGGAGGCCTGTAGCTTTTTAGGGATGAGATCCATGGGATTGATTGCCGTCAAAAGCCCCAACATGGTTCTACTTCCCTGAGTGGCTCTAAGCCTGGGTAGGAGTACACGTTCACTTGAGGCCTCAGCACACACACGGTTCCAGAGGCACGTAGTGGTGAACTGCATCTTTCCATAGGTTCATGCCTATAAGACCCAGATATGAGACCCATGGGATTGATTGCCCCAAAGGTCCCATCATAGTTCTACTTCCCTGAGTGGCTCTAAGCCTGGGTAGGAGTACACGTTCATTTGAGGCCTCGGTACACACACGGTTCCAGAGGCAACATAGTGGTGAACTGCATCTTCCCAAGGCTCATGCCTATAAAGACCCAGGTATGAGACCCATGATATTGATTGCCCCAAAGGTCCCATCATAATTATGCATCCCCAAATGGCTCTAAGCCTGAGTAGGAGTACAATTTCACTTGAAGCCTCAGTACACACATGGTTTCAGAGACAATGTGGTGGTGAACTGCATCTTCCCATAGGCTCATGCCTATAAGACCCAGGTATGAGACCCATGGAATTGATTGACCCAAAAGGTCCCATCATAGTTATGCTTCCCTCAGTGGCTCTAAGCCTGAGTAGGAGTACACTTTCACTTGAAGCCTCAGTGCATGCATGGTTTCAGAGACAATGTAGTGGTGAACTGCATCTTCCCAAGGCTCATTCCTATAAGACCCAGGTATGAGATCCATGGGATTGATTGCCCCAAAGGTTCCATCACAGTTCTGCTTCCCGGAGTGGCTGTAAGCCTGGGTAGGAGTACACTTTCACTTGAAGCCTCAGTACACGCATGGTTTCAGAGACAATGTAGTGGTGAACTGCAATCTTCCCAAGGCTCATGCCTATAAGACCCAGGTATGAGACCCATGGAATTGATTGCCCCAAAGGTCCCATCATAGTTCTGCTTCCCTGAGTGGCTCCAAGCCTGGGTAGGAGTACACGTTCACTTGAGGCCACAGTGCACACATGGTTCCAGAGGCAACGTAGTGGTGAACTGCATCTTCCCATAGTCCAATGCTCACGGGTATTCGGTAATAAAGGAGATCCAACAAAGCTACTAGCCACCACCCCAGACCAATCCCCCCACCATTACACCACCACCACACCCACTTCAGAACCAGCAACTCTATTTTGTCCCCAGGTATTGGCTGCACATTATCAAATTCCTATTCCAGTTCCACAAATTATAGATTTTCTTGCTATGTCTGCAGCCCTGTGGAATAATCCATCTATTGGACATGCGTAGGACTTCAGCACACATCACAGGAAGGCTTGAACCTTTGCAGAATACCTTGATTTACTTCAATGGAACAAGAACATTCTCTATATACATTCTCTATATACATTCTCTATATACATGGTATAGAACAAATACGAGTCAGCAAATCTTTAGTCCATATTTGTGGCTGTTCCAGATGGGATCTAGTATGACACAACTGTCCCCTGGAAGGGGTATTGCGGTACTCAGTGGTGAAGCGTGAGTTGCCAGCACCGGGCAAGCCAGTATTACACTCACTAACCCGTGGACTGTTAGCACTCTTCGAGTCCCTTCCACCAGAATATATACACCTATATCATAGTGAGTACCGATCTGCCAGTACAAGTGGGGAAAAGGTGGGGGGCAACAACTTGAAAGTATGGGGACACTTGATGTATAGGGGGACTCTACTGGGGACTCCACCTGGTGAGGGAAAGGGGGGCACCATCTTTGCCCTGGGCGCTGGATGACCCTGTCTGGGCACTAAGGTGATGTAAAAGATGTCCGTTTTTCTTTAATAACTGTTGTAATGATTATAAATGCATAGCTCAAAAAAACAAAAAAAAAAACAAATAAGAAAAAGATTGTGTTTTTTACACATATTTAACCACTTCCAGTCCAGACGCTTTCACCCCCCTTCCAGTCCGGACACTTTCACCCCCCTTCCAGTCCGGACACCCCCCTTTTCCAGTCCGGACACTTTCACCCCCTTCCAGTCCGGACACTTTCACCCCCCTTCCAGTCCGGACACTTTCACCCCCTTCCAGTCCGGACACTTTTTCACCCCCTTCCTTCCAGTCCGGACCAACCCCCGTTCCAGAGAGGGACACTTTTCAAGTCCGGGACAACCACTCCTTCCAGTCTGGACACTTTTCCCCCCCTTCCAGTCCGGACACTTTCACCCCCTTCCAGTCCGGACACTTTCCCCCCCTTCCAGTCCGGACACTTTCGGCCACTTTCACCCCCTTCCAGTCCGGACACTTTCCCCCCCTTTCCAGACACTTTCCACCCCTTTCCGGACACTTTTTCCTCCGGACCACTTTTCACCCCCTTTTCCTGTCCGGACACTTTCCCCCCCCCCTTCCAGTCCGGACACTTTCACCCCTTTTTTTCCGGACACTTTCCCCCCCTTCCAGTCCGGTGGGACACTTTCACCCCCTTCCAGTCCGGACACTTTTCACCCCCTTCCAGTCCGGACACTTTTCACAGTCCCACCACCCCCTTCCAGTCCGGACACTTTCCCCCCTTTTCCCGAACACTTTCCCCCCTTCCAGTCTGGACACTTTCCCCCCCCTTCCAGTCCGGACACTTTCCCCCCCTTCCAGTCCGGACATTTTCACCCCCCTTTCATTGACAACAAAAGACACTTTCCCCCCCTTCCAGTCCGGACACTTTCCCCCCTTCCAGTCCCCCCTTCCCGGACACTTTCCCCCCCTTCCCGGTCCGGACACTTTCCCCCCCCTTCCCGTCCAGACACTTTCCCCCCCCTTCCCGGTCCGGACACTTTCACCCCCTTCAAGTCTGGACACTTTTCACCCCCCCCCCCCCCCCCCCCTTCCTGCCCCCAGGCCAATTTTCAGCTTTCAGCGCTGTCACACTTTGAATGACAATTGCACGGTCATGCAACACTGTACCCACCTGAATTGTTTAGCATTTTTTTGAGACAGATAAAGCTTTATTTCGGTGGTATTTATTCACTGCTGGAATTTTTTATTTTTTATTTCTATATAAATGAAAAAGTCCAAAAATTTTGAAAAAGTGTTTTTCTTATAAAATTTTGCAAATAAATAATATTTCATCATAAATCTTGGCCAAAATGTATTCAGTTATCTTTTTAGTATAAAAAAAAATAACCCAAATTAGTTTATAACCAAAAATTATAATTTAAAAAAAAAAATGTATTTGCATTTTTATTTTATTTCTTTATATTATTATTTATGGGGTTATTTTTACATACTGTCACCCTAGCAGTGTGGGGTCACCATGGTGACACTGTACTACTTGTGGGGGGTGATGAAGATTTTTTTTTTTTTTACACTGATTGCTTTTACACCCATAAGGGCTGTAAAAGCAATCATTTCTCCTTCTCTCTGGCTGCATTCTTGCAGCCATTGAGAAATACTGTGAGAGCTGTGATTGGTCACAGCTTGTCACATTGTACAAGGCTGTTGTGAATGGCCCTGTACCATGTGACCTCTGTGATCATTTACAGATTTCACACGTAGTAAGCAATGTTGTCAGAAGTGACATCTTGCTTACTACTCTGCATGTGATCACTGATTGGCCAATCAGTGATCACATGATCGGGACCTCGCACAGATCGTACAAAGATCGGTGTTCCACTGTGTCTGGAGGACACAGCAGGCACCGGAATGCGGTGCTGCGCGCTCCCAGGAAGCGCGCACAGTCCAAAATGGCGGGCGCTGTTTATGAACGGCAACCCGCCCCTGCACTGCCACCATATCGCCGTTTATATACAGCGGCCGGACGGCAAGTGGTTAAGGGAGTGTTTATTTTGAAAAATTACATATCAATTCACCCAGTGAAAGTGCATTTACATTCATTCTGTGCAATTGGGCAAAAAAAATGTTATCAGGCTATTTCCTGTGCTGGTCGAATGTTTTTCATTGATTTAAAATAGAAAATATTGCATTTTGGCCACTGGATGGTGCTAAGTATCATTGGAAATTCTTATGATCTGTTCCGCCACCTACTGGCTACATTTATTATTTTCCATTTTAAATCAACATTCGACCAGCAAAGGAAATAACCCAATAACATTTTTTGTTTTTGCCCACCCACACAGAATGAATGCACCGAGTGAACTGCTCTACACCATGTTTATAAATACAGCCCTAAGTATTTCATTCATATAATATGGTTTAGGGTTACCGGTCCACTTATGGTTCCCGATGCCAAAAGATCTCCAGGACGAACGTTACAGCCGGTTATTGTGTGATGGGCCAGCTGCTGCTTCATAGTCCAGTACATGTACTACAAGACAGAAGAAGTATTATGGATAGGTATTATTAGATAGTATTATGGATATGATATATAGGTATGGGTATATGGATATGGATAGGTATTATGGATAGGTAGATATGGGTATATGGATGGATAGGTATTGGATATATATGGATAGGTATTATGGATAGATAGGTATTATGGATAGATAGGTATTATGGATAGATAGGTATTATGGATATAGATAGGTATAGATAGGGTATTATATGGGTATAGGTATAGGTATTATGGATAGGTATATATGGATATTAGATAGGTATTATGGATAGGTATTATGGATAGGTATTATGGATAGGTATATGGATAGATAGGTATTATGGATAGGTATATGGATAGGTATTATGGATAGATAGTATGGATAGGTATTATGATAGGTATTATGGATAGATAGGTATTATGGATAGGTATTATGGATAGGTATAGGTATATGGATAGGTATTATGGATAGGTATTATTATAGGTATTATGGATAGGTATTAGGGATAGATAGGGTATTATGGATAGATAGGGTATTATGATATATTATATGGGGTATGGGGTATTATGGATAGGTATATATGGATAGGTATATGGATAGGTATATGGATATGGATAGGTATTATGGATAGGATATATATATGGATATAGTATATGGTATATGGATAGGTATATATGGATAGATAGGTATATGGATAGATAGGATATTGGATAGGTATGGATATAGTATTATATATATGGGGTATATATGGATAGGTATTATTATGGATAGGGTATTATGGGAGATAGGTATTATGGATAGATAGTATTATGGTATATGGATAGTATATGGTATTATGGATAGATAGGTATTATGGATAGGTATTATGGGTATAGATAGGTATTATGGATAGGTATTATATAGATAGGTATTATGGATAGGTATTATAGATAGGTATTATATAGATAGGTATTATGATAGATAGGTATTATGATAGATAGGTATTATTATAGATAGGTATTATGATAGATATAGGGTATGGATAGATAGGTATGGATAGATATTATATGGATAGGTATTATGGATGGATGGTATTATGGATAGGTATTATGGATAGTATATGGATAGATGGGTAGATAGGTATTATGATAGATAGGTATTATGGATAGGTATATGGTATATGGATAGGTATTATGGATAGGTATATGATAGTATATGGATAGGTATTATGGATAGATAGTATATGGAGGTATAGATAGGTATATGGTATAGATAGGTATATGGATAGGTATTATGGATAGATAGGTATTATGGATAGATAGGTATATATAGGTATTATGGATAGATAGGTATTATGGATAGATAGGTATTATGGATAGGTATTATGGATAGTATATGGATAGATATATATTATATGGATATATTATGGATAGGTATTATGATAGGTATTATGGATAGATAGGTATTATATATATTATGGATATGGATAGGTATTATGGATAGGTATTATGGATGATAGATATATGGATAGATAGGTATTATGGTATATGGATAGGTATTATGGATAGTATTATAGGTATTATGGATATAGGTATTATGGATAGGTATTATGGATAGGTATGGATATGGATAGATAGGTATTATGGATAGTATTATGGATATGGATAGGTATTATGGATAGATAGGTATTATGGATAGGTATATGGATAGGTATTATGGATAGGTATTATGGATAGGTATTATGGATAGATAGTATTATGGATAGGTAGGTATGGATATAGGTATATGGATAGGTATTATGGATAGATAGGTATTATGGATAGGTATTATTGATCAGAAAGGAGGGACTCTGATATGAATGGTGGGGGGCTTCTGATGAGAAAGGAGGGACTCTGGTGTGAATGGGGGCTTCTGATGTGATAGGGGTTGCCCAACACATATAGAGAGCACTTGTACATTTTTAGTTCTCTGTCAGCACTCGGCCTTTTTTCTCCAGCAGCAGAATCCCACCCAAAGCTCTACAAAGTCTCCAAAAAACTCGGGACCCGGTGTATTAACCCCTCCCACTGACTGTATGTTTGCTGTGTCCCCCACATGGCTTCTCACAAACTGCAAATGGGACTTCTTATGGCTTTCCTCCAACAATGGCTTTCTTCTTGTCACTCTTCCATAAAGGCAGATTTGTGGAGTGCACGACTAATAGTTGTCCTGAGGACAGATTCTCCCCCCTGAGCTGTGATCTCTGCAGCTCCTCCAGAGTTCCCATGGGCCTCTTGGCTGCTTCTCTGATGAATGCTCTCCTTGCCCGGCATGTCAGTTTAGGTGGCCGGCCATGTCTTGGTAGGTTGGCAGTTGTGCTGTACTTTTCCCATTTTCGGATGATGGATGGAACAGTGCTCTGTGAGATGGTCAAAGCTTGTGGCATTCTTTTATACCTTAAACCTGCTTTAAACTTCTCCACAGCTTTATCCCTGACCTGTCTGGTGTGTTCCTTGGCCTTCATGATGCTGTTTGTTCACTAATGTTCTCTAACAAACCTCTGAGGGCTTCACAGAACAGCTGGATTTATACTGAGATCACATGACACACAGGGGGACTCTATGTACTAATTAGGTGACTTCTGAAGGCAATTGGTTCCACTAGATTTTAGTTAGGGGTATCAGACTAAAGGGGGCTGAATACAAATGCCGCCACACTGGTTACAGATTTATTGGTAACAAATGTTGAAAACCATTTCTCATTTTCCTTCCACTTCACAATTATGTGCCACTTTGTGTTGGTCAATCACATCCAATCCTGATTAAATACATTGACGGGTTTGGCCATAACATGACAACATGGGGGCATTTCAAGGGGTATGAATACTTTTTCAAGGCACAGTATTTCCTGCAGAGAGTACAATGATGAGTCCAGGAGATCCAACAAACCTTTCAAGCAATTAATTCTGAATGCATTAGTACCGGCAGCTCTGAGACGCCACATTTCAGGATCGACATAATGACCCCCTTATCTGGTGCTCAGAGCTCCATCACATGTAGCCGTGGCTGGTGGCCTAATTCACTGAGCATTCCTTCAATTAATTTCCTTCTAGTCTTATCATTTTGCTGATTAGTCACCACCGGCTACAAGATATGTTTGTTTCCTGTAGGATGTTATTAAATCTGCGGACAGTATTTCCGTGGACAGCGGGAAATGCTGCAATACAGATGGAGGCAACTCAGCCGGGTCCTCTAAATTCCTACTTTCAACCTCCACAAGGATCGATAATACACAATCATTAGTCGATGTAATTTACCTTGAAGGCAGACAGACAAGTTAATATTGAATGTGTAATCACTCTTATCCTGGAGATACGGCAGAGGCACGGGATCCTGCATGGGAGAAGAATCAATGAGAGGAGAGCAATGGATGGGGAACCTTCCCAGCCTGACAAATGTCTACCATCACCAGACCGCAAGGTACAGCCAGCATTGGAAGAAAAAATATATCTGAAATATCATTTATAAATATTCTTCCCAAATGTATATTGACATACTATTTTTTGAAATACTACAATTTTGGCCGTATTCGATATATTTCAAAATATATTTCAAAAAAGTTATATAATATAATCCAATATATGGGCTGGAAGTGAGAAGAAATTCCTGGATAAATAAGTACAAGCTTGATGCTCCTGTAAACCCTCAAGTAAAGTCACACCATAAAAATCAGTGTTCACCTTTGGAAGAGTTCCCCTCTATCACTTTTGAGGGGGGACAACCGTTAAATATAGGGATTTTCTTTCACTTCAAAGAAGTTTCAAGCCCCATGATAATCTCCCTGGTTTTAAACAGAAAGATAAAGATAGATGGTGGATAAGTAGAATCTCCAAAGACATTCAAACTGGGGCTCATGGGAGCATCAGTGCGCAGCTGGATCAGCAATTTAAATTGTAAAAAACCTGACAGGGGGTCTAATCCCTCCCCCAGACTCCATCAAAAACTAAAAAAGTTTTGCGTTTAGTTATACTTTAGGTTTTTAGAATGCAAGCATTTGTGATCAAGAGAATAGGTGTAGGAACTCCACCATTTTGAGTTACTTTCTTGTCCAGCCGACCCCCCTACCACCTCCAATGATGGCACCGTGGACCAGCCTTGTATTCACCCGCCTACCCACCTCCAAGCACCGTTGCCTTGTATTCAGCTTATTGATTGGTTATAGGAAGCCCTACCCACCCTCCAAGCACCGTCCCTTGGATTCACCACCCTACCAACCTCCAAACACCGTCCCTTGTATTCACCCCCCTACCCACCTCCAAGCACCGTCCCTTGTATTCCCCCCCTATCAACCTCCAAGCACCGTCCCTTGGATTCACCACCCTACCAACCTCCAAACACAGTCCCTTGTATTCACCCGCCTACCCCACCTCCAAGCACCGTCCCTTGGATTCACCACCCTACCAACCTCCAAATACCGTCCCTTGTTTTCACCCCCCTACACCACCTCCAAGCACCGTCCCTTGTATTCACCCCCCTATCGACCTCCAAGCACCGTCCCTTGGATTCACCACCCTACCAACCTCCAAATACCGTCCCTTGTATTCACCACCCCCCTACCCACCTCCAAGCACCGTCCCTTGTATTCACCCCCCTATCGACCTCCAAGCACCGTCCCTTGTATTCACCCCCCTATCAACCTCCAAGCACCGTCCCTTGGATTCACCACCCTACCAACCTCCAAGCACCGTCCCTTGGATTCACCACCCTACCCACCTCCAAGCACCGTCCCTTGGATTCACCAGCACCGTCCCTACCCTAACCTCCAAGCACCGTCCCTTGGATTCACCTCCCTAGCCACCTTCGAGCACCGTCCCTTGGATTCACCCTCCTACCCCACTCCCTCCTGAGCACCGTCCCTTGGATTCACCCTCCTACCCACCTCCAAGCACCGTCCCTTGGATTCACCCCCTTCTACCCACCTCCAAGCACCGTCCCTTAGATTCACCCCCTACCCACCTCCAAGCACCGTCCCTTTGATTCACCCCCTACCCACCTCCAAGCACCGTCCCTTTGATTCACCCCCTACCTACCCACCTCCAAGGACTGTCCCTTGGATTCACCCCCCTACCCACCTCCAAGCACCATCCCTTGGATTCACCCCCTACCCACCTTCGAGCACTGTACCTTGTATTCACCCCCTTGCCCACCTCCAAGCATCGTCCCTTGGATTCAACCCCCTATCCACTTCTAAGCACTGTCCCTTGGATTCAGCCCCTACACACCTCAAAGCACCGTCCCTTGGATTCACCCTCCTACCCACTTCTAAGCACCGTCCCTTGGATTCACCCCTTATTTTTATTAAATGTTGCAAATAAATAATATTTTATCATAAGTCTTGGCCAAAATTTATTCCATTATCTTTTTAGTAAAAAAAAAAATAACCCAAATTAGTTTATAAACAAAAATTATAATTTTTTAAACATTTTTTTTTAAATTTTTTTTTATATTATTATTTATGTTTGTTGTTTTTTTTTACATACTGTCACCTTAGCAGTACAGGGTCACCATGGTGACACTGTACTACTTGTGGGGGGGGTTGATGAGGATTTTTTATTTTTTTTTACACTGATTGCTTTTACACCCATAAAGGCTGTAAAAGCAATCATTTCTCCTTCTCTCTAGTTGCATTCTTGCAGCCATTGAGAAATACTGTGAGAGCTGTGATTGGTCACAGCTTATCATATGGTAGAAGGCTGTTGTGAATGGCCCTGTACCATGTGATCTCTGTGATCATTCACAGATTTCACACGTAGTAAGCAATGATGTCAGGAAGTGACATCATTGCTTACTACTCTGCATGTGATCACTGATTGGCCAATCAGTGATCACATGATCAGGACCTGGCACAGAGGTCCCGTACGACGATCGGTGTTCCACAATGTCCTGAGGACACAGCGGGCACTGGATCGCGGTGCTGTGCGCTCCCAGGGAGCACGCACAAGCAGGGGGCGGGGAGAACGTTTATAAACGGCCACCTGCCCTGCACTGCCACCGTCCGGCTGTTTATATACAACGGCCGGACGGGAGTTGGTTAAAACGCAAAATGCATCAAGACGCAGCAACAATGCAATACATGCTTTGCTGCAGCATTTCCATTGCATTCTATAGAACCAAAAACGCAACTTTTTACGCTCAAAAAAAGTCCCTGACCCTTTCCAAAACGCACCGGGTGAAAACGCGCAGATGTGAACCTGTCCCATAGGAAATCATCTTACACGGACTGTACTGCGTTTCTACAAAACGCAGCAGAAAACGCATGTGTGTGAACCTGGGGTAAATATATATAAATTATGGGGGGTGGGGGATTCTGAAACATTTTCTAAAAATTGTATAAAGAAGGTATCGGAGTTATCCTGAAATCTCGCATCTTTGATGACGTTAATAAAGAATATCACTGTCATGCTGCATACATGTGTAGCAAAAAAAAAAATCATTGAGCCAAAATCATATTATTATGCTGCTTATCTGGTTCTTCTAGTCACCTGGATTGGATTGGGAAGCACAAACGGCATCAGCGCCTCCATCGGCACCACCCATGGAGAGATCGATGTGGCGAAGTTCTTACTCAAGAAAGGTCCAAGTGGAACATATTCCCATTTCTGGATGTCCCGAGCTAAGAAGAAAATACAGTGTTACAGGAAATTGAAAATGTACATACATTGTGGTATGAAAACATTTCAAGACTAGAATTGTAACACGCCAACAGATGGCAGCACGAGGCTGCACACACAGTCACAGGGAGCAGCGACCTTCATAAGTCAGTTTGCCAAAAGACATCGCACTGTGTATATCGGGAGCTGTGCAACTGGTGCTATTCTGACCACGTGTGTTACCTCATCTGCTATTTCATCACGGACAGCAAGTTAAAACAAAGAGCAAATGCGAAATTCTGTGTGAAATCCGTACAAGTTTCGTCACCGGTAATGATCCTCAACGTGAAGGATGGGTCATCCATGGCACTCTGACGGAGTTCTTGGCAGACTTTGATGCGATGCTCCTTCTGTTTCTTGGTCAGCAGCCTGGGGATGAACTTGTTCAGATCACACATGAGGATTGCCTGGACTGCTCCATATGACACAACGACAATGGCAGCGATGGTATGGATTGTTCTCCGACCATCATCATGCACAAGTTGCCGAATAGTTTCCACATTTTCAGGGTTGAGCTTGTTGAAGGTCTTCCTGATCTCTCAACATCTTCCGGTGATGTTCTTCATTTTCAGGGGTTGAGCTTGTTGAAGGTCTTCCTGATCTCTCGTCATCTTCCGGTGATGTTCTTCATTTTCAGCGGTTGAGCTTGTTGAAGGTCTTCCTGATCTCTCGTCATCTTCCGGTGATGTTCTTCATTTTCAGGGGTTGAGCTTGTTGAAGGTCTTCCTGATCTCTCCACATCTTCCGGTGATGTTCTTCATTTTCAGGGGTTGAGCTTGTTGAAGGTCTCCCTGATCTCTCCACATCTTCCGGTGATGTTCTTCATTTTCAGGGGTTGAGCTTGTTGAAGGTCTACCTGATATCTCGACATCTTCCGGTGATGTTCTTCATTTTCAGGGGTTGAGCTTGTTGAAGGCCTTCCTGATCTCTTGTCATTTTCCGGTGATGTTCTTCATTTTCAGGGGTTGAGCTTGTTGAAGGTCTCCCTGATCTCTCGTCATTTTCCGGTGATGTTCTTCATTTTCAGGGGTTGAGCTTGTTGAAGGTCTTCCTGATCTCTCGTCATTTTGCGGTGATGTTCTTCATTTTCAGGCGTTGAGCTTGTTGAAGGACTTCCTGATCTCTTGTCATCTTCCGGAGATGTTCTTCATTTTCAGGGGTTGAGCTTGTTGAAGGTCTCCCTGATCTCTCATCATTTTCCGGTGATGTTCTTCATTTTCAGGAGTTGAGCTTGTTGAAGGTCTTCCTGATCTCTCGACATCTTCCGGAGATGATCTTCATTTTCAGGGGTTGAAATTGTTGAAGGTCTCCCTGATCTCTCGACATCTTCCGGTGATGTTCTTCATTTTCAGGCGTTGAGCTTGTTGAAGGCCTTCCTGATCTCTTGTCATCTTCCGGTGATGTTCTTCATTTTCAGGGGTTGAGCTTGTTGAAGGTCTCCCTGATCTCTCGTCATTTTCCGGTGATGTTCTTCATTTTCAGGGGTTGAGCTTGTTGAAGGTCTTCCTGATCTCTCGTCATTTTCCGGTGATGTTCTTCATTTTCAGGCGTTGAGCTTGTTGAAGGACTTCCTGATCTCTCGTCATCTTCCGGTAATGTTCTTCATTTTCAGGGGTTGAGCTTGTTGAAGGTCTCCCTGATCTCTCGTCATTTTCCGGTGATGTTCTTCATTTTCAGGGGTTGAGCTTGTTGAAGGTCTCCCTGATCTCTCGTCATTTTCCGGTGATGTTCTTCATTTTCAGGGGTTGAGCTTGTTGAAGGTCTTCCTGATCTCTCGTCATTTTCCGGTGATGTTCTTCATTTTCAGGGTTGAGCTTGTTGAAGGTTTTCCTGATCTCTCGACATCTTCCGGTAATGTTCTTCATTTTCAAGGGTTGAGCTTGTTGAAGGTCTCCCTGATCTCTCCACATCTTCCAGTGATGTTCTCCATTTTCAAGGGTTGAGCTTGTTGAAGGTCTCCCTGATCTCTTGACATCTTCCAGAGATGTTCTTCATTTTCAGGGGTTGAGCTTGTTGAAGGTCTCCCTGATCTCTCGACATCTTCCGGTGATGTTCTTCATTTTTAGGGGTTGAGATTGTTGAAGGTCTCCCTGATCTCTCGACATCTTCCGGTGATGTTCTTCTGCTCTTGAAGCGCACGTGCCGCTCAGAACACCTGGAACGACTCATTGCTGCATTACTGTAAGCTTGCTGAATCCTGTCAGACGTCTCTGTGGCAGATTTGCCCGGTTCCACAAGGAATTTTTCCTTTGATTTTTGTTCTAACTTGCCATGCATGATGAAATAGATATGATAACGCACGTGGCCAGAATAGCACCAATTGCACAGCTCCCGATGTACACAGGACAATGTATTTTGGCACACTGACTTATGAAGTTTGGTGCTCCCTGTGACTGTGCATGCAGCTTTGTGCTGCCATCTGTTGGCGTGTTACAAAACTAGTTTTGTAACTTTTTGATATCACCTGGAATTAAATACAATGTAGCAACATATATTCAGAATATATTAAAAAAAACTTCTGCCCTTGCGGCTTTGTTCACACTTGTGCAAATTGTCAGTCGCACGACAAGTCGCAGCCCATTCTTTACAATGGCACCCGTTAAAATCAGTGTGACTTAAAGTCGCAGCGTGTTTGAAAAGTTGCCTGAACCACTTTGATCCAGAGAGTGTAAAGTCGGATCACCGTCGCTCTTGAAGTCGCATCAAAGTCACACTCCAAAGTCGCACTGGAAATCGCGCAGCTTTGGAGTCACACAAGTGTGAATGGAGCTTTAATTATGGAGTGAGAGTCCTGAGCATCAGTCAGATCACATATATAAAGGTCTGTGAACAGCTGAGAATAATAATTGGGTCTGGCTACCAGGTAAGAGGTGGTCCTAGGAATGGAAGTTTTGGCCCACTCAAAACTCTACAAAGCCTCCAGGCTGCAGGACCCAGTACAGAAATTATTAACCCCTTGGCACCGATTGTACACATAAATGCGGCCCCAATGGATTGGGCTTTTCTCCGTGGGGCTTCATATATGTGTATGTGTCTTTGTGCTGGGAGTGTGCCACACAGCATGTTCCCAGCACAGAGATCGGGGTCTCACCAGGAGCCCCGGGTCCCGTGGTGATGATCGGGACCCAGAACCAGGGGCGTATTTACCACAGGGCGGCATTTTTCAGGGGGACAGCGCTGCCTCCTGGAAAAAGGGACTGAAGAAGGGTGGGATCCGAGAGTGTCTCAAGGAAAGGTCCTGATCTCCCCTTGCGATCGGGACCTTTTCCGATTATCAACGACGGTCACATGACCCTAAAACCCCGCCCCACCTCTCGGTGTCTGAAACCCCTGAAAGGGCCGGGAGGCGCCGGCATTAAGAGGTTAATAGCAAAAACTCAAAAATATTCTTCTCAAAATTGTCGGCATTTTTGTTTATAGCACAAAAAACGGACAGGCGATTAAATACATTTAAGTTGGGTGCGGCGTTGCATGACCACACAATTGTCAGTTAAAGTAACGCAGCGCCGTATCGCAAAAAATGGCCCGGTCAGGAAGGGAGGGGGGGAATCCTCTGGAGGGAAAGTGGTTAAGGTTCTAAGAAGACAAAAAGTAAATTTTTTTTCAGCATACCTTGGAGCCCCCTGACTACTTCTGCCATTCTGCCAGTCAATGCCTCGCTATATACAGGGGCATATTTACCACAAGGCAAACAAGGCATTTGCCTAGGGCGGCATTTTTCAGGGGGGCAGCTCCGCCCCCCGAAAGGGCTAATATTACTTTGCTTCACCCACTGCACACCAGCTGAAATTCCAGATGAGGAGGTCAATGCAGGGGCATATTTACCACAAGGTAAACAAGGGATTTGCCCAGGGAAGCATTTTTCAGGGGGGAAGCGGCATTTTGAGAGGGACGGCGCCCCCCCTCCCCAAAAAAAGGGATGGAAAAAGGGACACACCCAGTATGAGGACCAGGTGGGATCTGAGAGAGGCTGCTTGATGGTGTATGCAGAGCCCAACTCTTGTTCCCGGGGATGTCCGGAGCTGTGAAGGTGAGTGTCTTCTCTCTTGCCAGGGTGGGGGGGGGGGGTTGCCAGTGTATGGAGGGTGGTGGTAGTGGAAGGCTCTCTCATGTCGGGTGTTGTTGGTCAATGTCAGGCTCTCTTCTAGGGGGGGGGTGTTGGTAAATGTCAGGCTCTCTTTGGGGGGGGGTGTTGGTCGGTGTCAGGGTCTCTCCGGGGGGGGGGGGTTTGTTGCCTAGGGCAGCACAAAACTCAAATACACCACTGGCTATATATACAGTGACTAGCTATGTCCTTATACAGAGGGGTGCTGCGTGTCGGGAATGGCGGACATACTCTGGGTGAAGAGCTCCCCCTACAGGGGAGGAGGAGGATGATCAGTGCAGTCTACAGTTTCACTTGAACAGTGAGTGTCAGGCAGACCCCTGTGATTTCTGCAGCAGCAGTTTTATTTCGGCAGCTGTTAGGATCCCTGGTTGTCACCAGACAGGCTGAGACTAGTGATTTACCCCGATGTCACCTTTGATGCAGGAAATAATACGTCTCTAATTAATGGGAATCATTAAAGCTCCCAGCAGTCTTACCGCTCCAGTCGTTCATCAGTACCATGCCAAAAATGTGCTCATCGGCTCTCTGGATGGGAATTGGTTCTCCTAAATTGTTCCCGGGGCCCACAAAGAAAGCCTGGCACAACAGAAACACACTGTCAGTTTATGTATGAAATTAATGAAAGTGTACAGTAGAATACACCACTCAAAAAAATGAAAAGAAGACTGTAATCCGAGTCTAGCATCACGTCAATGAACCTCCTGGGATATGGATCTGGTCAGGTAAGTCGCAGAGGGGGTTGTTCATCAGTTTCAGCTGCTTTGGTGGTAATGAAATTAATAACAGGTGCACTAGATGGGCAACAATGAGACGACCCCCAAAACAGGAATGGTTTTACAGGTGGCCACTGACATTTTTCCCTACTCATCTTTTCTGACTGTCTTTCACTAGTTTTGCATTTGGCTCGGGTCAGTGTCACTACTGGTAGCATGAGGCCATACCTGGACCCTACAGAGGTTGCACAGGCATATCAACTCCTCCAGGATGGCACATCAATATGTACCATTGCCAGAAGGTTTGCTGTGTCTCCCAGCACAGTCTCAAGAGCATGGAGGAGATTCCAGGAGACAGGCAGTTCCTCTAGGAGGGCTGGACAGGGCCGTAGAAGGTCCTTAACCCATCAGCAGGACCGGTATCTGCTGCTTTGTGCAAGGAGGAACAGGATGAGCCCTGCCAGAGCCCTACAAAATGACCTCCAGCAGGCCACTGGTGTGAATGTCTCTGACCAAACAATCAGAAACAGACTTGATGAGGGTGGCCTGAGGGCCCGACATCCTCTAGTGGGCCCTGTGCTCACTGCCCGGCACCATAGAGCTCGATTGGCATTTGCCATTGAACCCCAGAATTGGCAGGTCCACCACTGGCGTCCTGTGCTTTTCACAGATGAGAGCAGGTTCACCCTGAGCACATGTGACAGACGTGAAAGGGTCTGGAGAAGCCGTGGAGAACGTTCTGCTGCCTGTAACATGGTTCAGCATGACCGTTATGGTGGTGGGTCAGTGATGGTCTGGGGTGGCATATCCATGGAGGGACGCACAGACCTCTACAGGCTAGACAATGGCACCCTGACTGCCATTAGGTATCAGGATGAAATCTTTGGACCCCTAGTCAGACCCTACGCTGGTACAGTGGGTCCTGGGTTCCTCCTGGTGCGGTGGGTCCTGGGTTCCTCCTGGTGCGGTGGGTCCTGGGTTCCTGCTGGTGCAGTGGGTCCTGGGTTCCCCCCTGGCGCAGTGGGTCCTGGGTTCCTCCTGGTGCAGTGGGTCCTTGGTTCCTCCTGGCGCAGTGGGTCCTGGGTTCCTCCTGGTGCAGTGGGTCCTGGGTTCCTCCTGGTGCAGTGGGTCCTTGGTTCCTCCTGGTGCAGGACAATACCTGGCCTCATCTGGCGAGAGTATGCAGGTAGTTCCTGGAGGATGAAGGAGTTGATACCATTGAATGGCCCCCACATTCGCCTGACCTAAATATAATAGAACACCTCTGGGATGTCATGTTCCAGTCCATCCGACACCACCAGGTAGCACCTCCAACTATTCAGGAGCTCAGTGATGCCCTGGTCCAGATCTGGGAGGAAATCCCCCAGGACACCATCCATGGTCTCATTAGGAGCATGGTTTACAATCACTTTAGCTCAAGCTGTGCAGTATTTTTATTGGTAGGGCCATTTGTATTCTTCTGAAAATCAGAAAACGAGACAATTCTCTTTGGCTTCTAAATAGCCATTTTATGGAAGCAACATCAATAAGATTGACATTTTTATGGGGGGGAGGGGTGTGTATTACCACAAGGAAAACAAGCTGTGAAGACGAGTGTCTTTCTCTGTATCGCTGGGAAGGGAGGGGGATTTAGTTGGTCAATGTCAGGCTCTCTCCGCGGGAGGAGGAAAGGGAGGGGGATGGTGTTGGTATGTGTCCATGGGGGCAGATGATTTTTGTGTTGCCTAGGGCAGCACAAAACCTAAATACACCACTTGGGGGGGGGGGGGGGGGGGGGTCAAGATATCCAGTATGTCATAAGTGTGTCCCCGAACCCAATTCCACCCTGTGCTGGTCTGCACACATGTATCTGCTATTTGTTGAAGTTCTACCAGAGATTCGGTAGTCTACAACCCAAACCCCATCCACACAATATAATATCCAGGACCGACATAATGACTCCATCAGACATACAGCCATGAATGACACAAGTCCGAGAAGTTCTGTCTGTCCATCAGTACTGAAATTTGCAAGATAAAATGGAAATATGTCGGGCGCCTGAATGTTTTATTTCTTCTAATGAGACGCCCCCAAATTATTATCAGCCGGTAACAAATGATCAAAGGACTACAGACGGAGATAACTTATATTGCCAGAAAAGAATTCATCTGTTCCATAGCTAAGGGCCAACTCCACCGGTAAGACCATGTGTGTTGCTATGGCTATTTTAGTGACTTTTGTAGCATAAATATGGGTAGAAGCTGGACTTCCCCTTTTCACATGCTAATTAACTTGTTGGACTGGTTCATGAAGCTCATGGCAGGAAATGATGTTGATGGGAAGTAGGGGGAGGGAACAGGGGACCTGAACACAGCCGTGTGTGCTGAACAAAGTAGGTAGCACTGGCAGTTTTTGAAGGACTCAAAGCAAGGAGCAATCTGGAGAGATCTTGGGTAAAAGGAAGAAGACTCCATCACCAGGAAGAGCCAAGGTAATTAAACATTTAGTGTATACCTACATACATTGTCCATCCATGCTCATTTAGCTATGGAGGATATACAGTGGGGCAAAAAAGTATTTAGTCACCACCAATTGTGCAAGTTCTCCCACTTACAAAGATGAGAGAGGCCTGTAATTGGCATCATAGGGAGACCTCAACTATGAGAGACAAAATGAGAAAACAAATCCAGACAATCACATTGGCTGATCTGGAAAGAATTTATTTGCAAATTATGGTGGAAAATAAGTATTTGGTCACCTACAAACAAGCAAGATTTCTGGCTCTCACAGACCTGGACCTTCTTCTTTAAGAGGCTCCTCTGTCCTGCACTCATTACCTGTATCAATGGCACCTGTTTGAACTTGTTATCAGTATAAAAGACACCTGTCCACAACCTCAAACAGTCACACTCCAAACTCCACTATGGTGAAGACCAAAGAGCTTTCAAAGGACACCAGAAACAAAATTGTAGATCTGCACCAGGCTGGGAAGACTGAATCTGCAATAGGCAAGCAGCTTGGTGTGAACAAATCAACTGTGGGAGCAATAATTAGAAAATGGAAGACATACAAGACCACTGATAATCTCCCTCGATCTGGGGCTCCACGTAAGATCTCACCCCGTGGGGTCAAAATGATCACAAGAACGGTGAGCAAAAATCCCAGGACCACACGGGGGGACCTAGTGAATGACCTGCAGAGAGCTGGGACCAACGTAACAAAGGCTACCATCAGTAACACACTACGCCGCCAGGGACTCAGATCCTGCAGTGCCAGACGTGTCCCCCTGCTTAAGCCAGTACATGTCCTGGCCCGTCTGAAGTTTGCTAGAGAGCATTTGGATGATCCAGAAGAGGATTGGGAGAATGTCATATGGTCAGATGAAACCAAAATAGAACTGTTTGGTAGAAACACAACTCGTCGTGTTTGGAGGAGAGAGAATGCTGAGTTGCATCCAAAGAACACCATACCTACTGTGAAGCATGGGGGTGGCAACATCATGCTTTGGGGCTGTTTCTCCGCAAAGGGACCAGGACGACTGATCCATGTACAGGACAGAATGAATGGGGCCATGTATCGTGAGATTTTGAGTGCAAACCTTCTTCCATCAGCAAGGGCATTGAAGATGAAACGTGGCTGGGTCTTCCAACATGACAATGATCCCAAACATAACTTGCACAATTGGTGGCTGACTAAATACTTTTTTGCCCCACTGTATAGCTTGCGTATGTGTATATTGTATATATATATTGTGATACTTCGGGTGTAACAAGGTGCTAAGCAGCCCCCCCTAACAGTGCGTGGGGGTTCCTCTGCCACACAACAGCTGTCAGATTTGAAATCCATGACCCGTGAATGCATGAACTACAAGTCCCGTCTGCCTACCTTGGCAGATGAACTTGTACTTAGCAATAGAACACATTCTGGTCATTATCGCACTTGTAGTCCACCGACACATCCCTCAGCTCCCCAAATAAAAGTCTATACCTTGGCTTAGAGCCGGAGGAACAGTATTCTGTTTCAAATGTCCCTTGAAAATGCAATGACACCTCCCAAGACCCAGTCTGTCCAGACAGCCCACATGGAAGAAAAAATATATTTTAAATATAGTTTAAAAATATTCTTCCCAAATATATATTGACATATATTTGAAATACTACAATTTTGGCCGTATTCAATATATTAAACAAAAAAATATATATATATATATACTGTATGTTGAAATGCGTTTTTATTACAAAATATATGAAAAATATTTTAAAAAATACATTTTCAAATATACTGTATGTCTTTAAAAATAATCTACATTTTTGGAATGCATTTACAAATATACGTAAAAATATATGTTAAAATGACTTTTTTCATATTAGAAATATCTTGCGAGCCAGAAAGTGAACAAACACTCCTAATTACTACACTCTAATGCTGGATCGCAAACCTCTAGCACATAACTACCAATGTGATAAACCGCAAAAAATAAATATATAGTGTTGCGCTCCCAAACCTCAAATCAATATATTGTTATTTAAATTAGATCTCTATAAATCAGAATGATGTGTGTGAATAAACATAAATACTAATATTCTAATACTTTAAATTGATACAAATAAATAATGTGCATGAAAAGTGAACAATAACAATAAATCACTAAAAAATATAAAAAATAAAATATAAAAATAAAAATAAAGATAATGTCCCAAAAAGTGACTTTGTGCTGGAAAATCTTCAATCTACAATAATTATAAATCGGTGACTGCTTGTGAATCCTCCCTCCAGTGAAGATGTGCGCTCACCTCATAAGAAGCCTGC